ATATATAGTCGGACTGTTATATATAATTGGTCAACGATGTTAAATTTAGCATCTCAGTTTTGTGCCCCAATTAGAAACTAACTTGAAAGCTAAAAGTACCTTCATAAGACTCCAAATTAGAAAGGCAAGAAGCAATAGACCCCCAGGAATTGCAATAATTATCCATCTGAGAAAAACTTTCCGTTGTTTGACATCATCTGGATGTATTTTAGTTGTAACCTAAGAAAATATCAGGATAATTTATTTGATTAATACACAATCATCTATTGATTAATAGAGATGCAAGTAAGAGTTTATTTCCATACAATAATCATTAGCCAATATATATCTTTATCTAATACGGCAAAGAACGTCAAATTGGGTATCAGTTTTCTCAAATCTAATAGTTTTATAACTATATTAATTAGGCACAGTTCGAAATCATTAACTTTTATGAAATATTATTGTAAAATAGAACAATAATTCCTGGTTTCAATATAAAAAAATGAGAAATCAGAAAATTAGATGTTATAATGTATCAATGAAAATAATTGACGTATGGTGGTAAATATATAATTATATTTGAAAAATTTCTCACCATATAAACTTTATGAGGAACAGAAATGGGACTGACATCATAAGGTAGTACCAAAACGCGGGTTACCAGCTTCGATGACACTTGTACTTGGCTGAGTCCGATCTAACGAAGAATTTTATTTTCAATTACATGTAACAATTTCAAAATTTCATTAGTGAAACATTTCGTTATCCACAAGCAACTTTTCTTAATTAATGGTAAATTAAAATGCTGTAAAAAAAGAAAAAGAAAAGAAAAATGAAACAAAGTATAAAACCGTATTTCATTCATATGTAGGTTCAATAAGTTTTGTTACAAAATTATAAAAACCCTATAACCCAAGTGCATTCGAATGGTAAACCTTTCTTCTTCAATGTCAAACTAGGAATGGTGGTGTAATCGATTACACCACCATTCCCAGTTTTACCCACTTTCAATATAAATTGAAAACAATGACAAAAAAAAGAAATATAAAAAGGGGAACAAATATCTATTAGATGTAGTAAGCATAAGAATGAAGCTATGTTTATGAATTTTTTAACCTTGCTTTTACTCACTCGAATTCAGTATTCGATTTCTGTAAGCTTTAAAGGGAAGGGTACAATTATAGCTTTACCATCTGAAATATTGCATTTGTAAATCCTCAAAAGCTTCCAACTGACGAAGATAAATTGCCATAGTTGTTTTTCTACGTGCTATACTCTTCGTATGTAATACAAAGTTATTAAACTACATAACAAGAAAATAGTCTTTAAGACATTAATTATTGCTTTTCATTTACACAGCATTTGATTGAAAATATCATTTAGCTTGTTCAGTGTTTTTTGGAATGAGATTTTTTATTATAGAAGTCTGAAAAATAAGCCAAGTTAAGAAAGAGAAAATTCACCTCTTCAATCGTTGACACCCACAGTCGGGAGCGTATAGTGAAGAGAACTTGATCATTTTCGTTGAGGTTAAACAAAGTGCAGTATATGCGTGTACACAGATTTGGACCACATTTCTATATAAAACATAAATTGAAGCTAAAATATTTGATTTACAGTTAATAACTACTTTATATAATTATGATATTATATCTAAAATGAAACTTAAACAATTCATCCATTAAAAATACACAACTATAAGTTAACATTTTTGGTAATATACATCTAGATACGTAACAAAAGTTAAATCGCATTTGACAAGAAGAATCTTATTATAAAATATTAATGTAAGCAAACACTCGGAAAATGTTTGTCGAAGGTTAAAATCTTTTGGTGCAAACTGGAGGATAGCGCACGATATTCAAGTTACAGTAATTACGCCCTGATCTCAAAATATGATGTAATTTCTTTCATGTCGAATGTATATTTTAGTTTTTTTCAGGCTTCTTCAGAGACGTTTATATATATAATACAGTAAACACCAAAGGCTGTAGACGTTCTTGAGGAAGTTGCAAAGACTAAATGTTGTAAATAGAATAAACTGTATCACACCTGTTGTGTCCAGGTCATTGCTATTGTTTCTTAAAATCTCTTTGTTAGCCGCAAATTCCTACACAATTATAGAACAGCTGAATAAGTAGATACCTCTCATATCTCTTTGGGATGATAGTGTGTAAGTGTATGCGTATTAACAAAATCCACACCAATTGTTATCCAGCGTCATACACGTACAAGCTTTATTTGAATAACGTTCTTCAGCATAGACCTAACCTCGGTCAATGATAGCTCACGTATCTCGAAATTGTTGGAATTATCGAATACTAGAGTATAGCCCGTCAAAAATGACGCGGCAGTTACTACCACCCCCACCCCAAAGCATACCATAATCTCATACTTCATAGCTAACTGAAATAAATAAATTTTGCGAAATCAAGATTGACCAACAAAGAAGCAGAAAAGTGCAGTCGAGGCAGTCAAACGTTGGTAAATCCCTTTGTGAGCCAATCAAAATTAAGATTATTTATGAAATGAACTCGTGGCGTATTCATAGAATAATTATTGGTAAAAAGCAGTTAGATTAACAACTTCTAATATATAGAAAAGCCAGTGAGTTTTGGTAAAATTACGTTCGAACAATGGCTTTATGCCATGTTGCGTAGCAACAAAAGTATAACCTAATATTGTAATTAGTCTATGTACTGAAAGTATAAAATGAAATTTATAGACAGTCAAACCTAGAAAAATATTTGTTGACTAGCTGGAGTACCCGTCCCCTGGTCGGTGTGTTTGTTTGTTTTGAATTTCGCCCAAAGCTATACGAGGGCTATCTGCGCTAGCCATCCTTAGTTTAGCAGTGTAAGACTAGAGGGAAGGCAGCTAGTCATCATCACCCACCGCCAAATCTTGGGCTACTTTTTTAACAACGAATAGGGGGATTTATCGTCACTGATAATGCCCCTACGGCTAAAACAGCGAGCATGTTTGGTGGGACGGGGATTCGACCCGCGACCCGCAGAATGAGAGTCGAGCGCCCTAACCATCTGGCCATGTAAATTCTTGATTAACGAAAGGTTATTTTAGGACATGAAAAGTTGCTTCCCATATATTTAATTGTAAGAAACGCAAAAACGTCCATAAAAACTGCAAAACACAAAATGTTAAACCGCAAGTTTGCATTATCTTCGCATGGACCCAACAAACCTTCATGCCAAATTTGGTGAAAATTCATCAACAGGGGGCGAAGTAGTGGTAAAAAACGCGAAAACGCCCATAAAAACTGCAAAAATGAAATTTTTTATGTATTTCCCCATTGACCCAATTTCCATACCAAATTTGGTGAGAACCATCCACAGAAGGTGAGATAGTGGTAAAAAAAAGGCAAAATCGCTCATAAAAACCGCAAAACTGAAAATATGCATGTACCACCGCATGGACCTGATGAACCTCCATACCATCCATACCTTGCAAAGCAGTTACAGGGACATACAACAGACAGTAGTATTATATTTATATAGATTTCTTAATTTAGAGTCTCGGTTGATTAAAGAGGTTTGTATTTTATTAAAAACGTTGGTGATATACAAAACATAGCGTAATTCAGAAACGATTTAAGTTTAAAACTGAATCGATATTTTTCTCTCATTATAAATTGTACGCACTTGGCTCTTGGCTAGGTGATCCCTTACTTCATCTTTACTTTAGGCTTATTATATCAACACTCACTACACTTATAAGGTTTCACGGTACCCACCCACTCTCACGATCTCCTTGCACACCTGTCACTAAAATCATAATGGGCTGACAGTAATCGAACTATTCTATCTGGATAACTGCATTTTGACGTTTATGACTCTTCCTATTTTGAGAAATCAAGTGTGACGTGAAACACACTGGCTTTTATATAGGTTAGATGAGTAAATACGTTTCAATTTTAGTCAAACTAATTAGTATCCTGTAATTTCAGGATAGTAAAATAAATTACTCTGACTTAACAAGTATTTAGTTTCATCCATTATACAATTCAAGAAAATATTCAATCAAGCATAGAGGTAAACAATCTACTGGTTTCAAATAGCTCAAAAGCTTTCGATATTTAAACAGTAGATTGATGATCAATCATTGATCAGTACAGATTTCGCCAAGAAACATTGTTGTAAGTGAACGATGAGAAAACAATAACAACAAAATACAAACAAAAACAACAGCACAAATATGATGCTAAGCGCCTAAATAGTTGAAGCATAAAACTTTTATAATCCTGCAAAAAAACATCATAATAAACTGTATTTCAGATCTATCTTGTGTCTACTCAACCTTGGTCTCACTAGTGAAACGTCAGTCAAGTAACGTTTGATTTTGTTAACAATATATCAGGGATAAATATAGAATTTAGTGATAAATTAGTCTCTTTTGACATTGTGTCGCTGTTTAGAATTGTTCCAATGAAGGAAACTCTGGATTGCTTGGAAAATAGATTACTGGAGAGTAAGACATTTTCTCTGCTTGAGGTGAACGAAATTTTAAAGCTTTCTCATGAGTGCATATTTTAAGGTGGAAAATAAATTTTTTAAACAGATTAAAGGTTTAGTGATGATGTCTCTCTTGTCCCCTCTTTTTATGGGAATTATTTATGTTCAATTTTGAGATGTAGAAGTTTAACATATCTGAGGTGAAATCCCTTAGTGTGGTTAAGGTATGTATATGACATGTTTTTAATGTGACGGAATGACGCTGGGACTTTACTAGAATGTGGAAAACATCTTAATTTTATCAGTCCTACCATCAGATTTACATTAGAGATAGAAAAAGAGGGTCAGCTAAACTTTTTTAGATATGATCGTCAACTTCTATTTATAGAAAGCCATGTACACAAAAACTATCCGCCTTCTCCACATTTGTGTTTAGAGCCTTAAGAATATGCACTAATGATTGTGATGCGGAAGCAGAGTTAAATGTCTTAAAACATGTAGCCGGAAATAAAGAATATAAACCTGAAAGTATTGATAGATTGCATCATAAACATATCAATAAATTAAGAATGTTAGCATGTAAAAGGTTAGAGGGAAAATGTAAAGTAAATAACATGAGAGTTTGTTTACCATATGTTCAAGGCTTATCTACACGAATAGGTAATATAATAAAACAATATATATATAATGTTGTGTAGCATTTTCTCCGCGTTGTAAGTTAAATAGCCTCCCGAGTACAAAAGATAGAAGAAATTGATAAATGGGGGATTTATAAAATTTCTTGTACCTGTGGTCGAGTTTTCTTGGCTAAAGTGTCGAAATCTAAAATTCAGGATCAATGAACATAAAAACGTGGTAGAAAAATACAAAGTAAATGAATCGTTATTATCAGAACATGTGGCAGAAGCATTTCATGTTATAGATTGGAATAAAATTAAGTTGATAAAACAGAAAGAATTTAAAATTGAATTAGATATCAAATAAATTATTGAAATTGAAAAAAAACAAAGATATTGTGTTAAACAAGGAACCTGTTCCAGCTCTAGAAATAATAACGTACTGGACAGATGTTTTTTAACTCTGGGTAGTTTAAGCCTAGATGGCGTTATTGGTATATATATATATAGGGCAAGTCCCTGTTTTTAATAACTAATTATTGTGTAATGATTTTCAGTTGTAAATTTTAATTGGAAATAGAGGTTTTTACACAAGTGTCGTTTTTAAATCATTTAGAACAAAGTTTGTTATAAGGTATCTAGTTAATGTTTCTGTATACTTAGTAACATAGAATAAAGTACAAGTAAAAATCGGTAAAGAAAAAAAACCAGAATTTCTTGCATAAGTTAAGCCAGGGAATACCAATGGCAACATCCTGTGAATGTGCCACGCCATACTAAGCATGATGGTAAAAGCAAATAAACGTTATCGTAGTAATGTTTGAAAACGGTGTTAAAACACTTTGTGAGTAACATTTCACTCATGAGAACAGGTTGGTCGACCACATGTCACTGCCCTAGAAATATTTCATTCGGAATCAGAGCGTGCTCTATTGTGATAGGTCATCGTACCTTTTACTTTTAGGCAAAAAATGTTTAGTTTCACTCAGAGTATATGACATTCACACAATAACAGTTGTAAATACTTGAACATTATGCACTTAAACAATAAACTTAAAATTACATCAAATTAAATAATACACATTACCACATCGTTCAAGAAGTCATCTGCATCATGCTGTTGTCTTTTCTTCTTTTTTTTGACAAATTGTCCTCCTCCAGATGTGTTATATTTATTATATTATCTGCAGCTGAGTCTTGTAACAATGCTTCACTGTTCGCACTTTTCCTCGACACTTTCTGTGGTTTGTAACATATGAAATTAGAAACGCAAAACAAAAGGCTAAACTGAAATAATGGCTGAAAAATCAATCAATCAATCATCCACCAAACAGTGGCACAGAATCCAGGGGGAGGGGTTCGGTTCGTTTTACATGGATTCTCGTAGAGGGAACGAGTGAGAGCAGTAGCGGTCATTTTCAAGTTGAGGAATTCTTATGAGACTTAAACAACAACGGAATTTCTATTTAGAGATTCTAAACTTTCATTTGTCAGAATTTCAAAAAAAGGTATAGATTTTATAGTGTAATTAGTTTTTCACTACTTAATAGCAATACTTTTCATGTGTAAGTGATACTTAATAGTTTCAAGTTCGTTGAAAGTCGTTCCACTTGCAAAGCGAAGTGCATACGCCACTGCACGGAAAATATGTTCTAACTGTTGGGAAAATCACTGATTTGCTTAATTTTTTATTAAACTTAGGCAAAAAACAAAATTTAAATACGAGTAACGATATTACTTGAAAGCTTTCTGTAACTTAAGAGCCCAGACGAGGAAGAATAGCACACTGAATTTCTGTGAGGGCTTTAGATAAAGAAGGTAAATATAGTATAATCATAAATAGACTATGTATTCTAGAAAAAAAAACATGAATAAAACTTTCTGTGGAGGGAAACTACTTAACCTACTATCCCTCTACTTGCTTATCAATAAATTGTTTGTTTGTTTGTTTTCAATTTCGCGAAAAGCTACACGGAGGCTATCTGCGCTAGCCGTCCCTGATTTAGCAGTGAAGAGAAGGCAGCTAACCATCACCACCAGCCGCCAACAACTCTTTTACCAACGAATAGTGGAATTGAGCATCACATTATAACACCCTCACGGCTGAAAGGGCGAGCATGTTTGGTGGGACCCTCAGATTACGAATCAAGCGCCCTATCAACTTAGCTATGCCGGGCCTCTGTAAATTGTAATAAAATGACATTTTATGCACGAATTCATATACTGTGTAAAATGTATTACAAGGAAGGCAAAAAAACTTTGCTTTAATTTTTCCGAATTAAAATATTTTATTGACGATATAAAGGAAAGGCACATTACATATTCCATAAGACTATAAGTTTAGTAATGTTGTAATTAAATAATGGTTAGCATAATTTCTAACACAAAATTTTAACTATAGACATATTCATTTCTGTTCTGTATTTTTCTATCAGTGATCAAATAACTTATGTTACAAATGCAGCTTCAAGATGTCATCCTTCCTATTTCAGATAAAACATATTTTTTGAGAAATACTGGCACTTGTTGAACCAAACACACATTTCATTTATGTATACATTCATGTAAATATAAGCTACCTAATGGTCGGATGCGCTCATATATTTAAAAAATGGCTACTATTGTTCAATTATTTATGGTGCTATATCGTAAGCCTATATATACTTAGTAAGGTTGCAGAAAAATCTATAACAAATAATTTTTTATTTTTAATTTATCCACTCTACTGTGATTTTTTTATATATTTTGTCAGCAATCTAAAATTTTGGTAGATCAAATCTGTATTTTTGAGATTTATGGTATCAATTCGATTTTTAAAGTGAGATTATATACTTACATGCAAATATAGGGTTTCTTTCTGAAGCACGGGCCTTTTTACTTTTAACTTATTCCCGTC